TTAGAATCACCTTGAATAATAACAGGATGGCAACTTCAGAGATTTTAAAAAAGAAAGAAGCCCATGGGAAGTAACTATGCACTTTTGGCGGAGGCTTCGAACTGTTGGTTATTAGCAGCTGAGACTTCAAGCGTGATCAGTTAAGACCAGTGGAAATTAACACTCAGATGAAACGTCAACTAGGGATGTGAAAAGTGTAATCTGGTGGAAGAAGAGATAGGCAGTGAGTGAGAAAATAATTTTAATTATAGAATAAAGAGAACATAGGAAGCAAGAACGAAGGAACATCTAGGAAGTAAGAAAAGTATAGAGAGAGTTGCAATCACTCATCAGGAGATGGAGCATTTACCAGGAAGGGGAAAAAAAATATCTACCCAGTTGAGTTGAAAAATCCCATCTAAATATGAAAGCAGGGAATGTATGCTGAGGCTGGAAATATTCGTCAATGTGTTAAATGTCACACATTCTAAAAATACGAGATAGATTTCAACAGCCCTATAGTTAAAGACCGATGATTGGGATTTTGCTTTTATGATGCCATTGAGATTCAGTTGGTTCTTGGGTCTCCATAGCAACCGCCCGGTACTACTTCTCCTTCTCTTTGTAGTCACGTGATGCCGGATACAGGCATAGGACACATAGAGAAGCAGGCGGTTGTATTTCCTAATTGGTGACACAGAGACCAGGGCCACTGGGGAGGACTTTTATAGCATTCCCTGAATGACCTTTCTTCTGGGAGCTGGCTCTTGTGCTGGGTGTTAACCTTGCCTTGATTAGCCGCTGCTTTGTATCAACAGTGTTGCTGTTTTATGAATTGTACATCCACTGAGATGAAATTCCTTCAAGCAGAGGACCCCTTTAACTTATGATGCCAAATTGTCTTAGGAGTTACCACCAGGGTCCAGGGTGAGCAACAGACTCATCTACTAGGGCAGGGGCATACTGTCGAGTCGTGAAACGTTTAGACAAGTCGCCGTAGTGATCTGTTCCTCGATTTCCCCATCTGTGAAATGGGAGCCTAACCAAAGCCTTTTTCTTGCTCAAAGGGTAACGTCTGCAAAACATTCAGAGAAGTTTTGTCAGACATGTTTTGGAATGTGATGTGTGTGTCTAGAGAACCCAAGTGCCTTAGGTTTATGTGTGAGAGGTGTCAGGGTGCTGCGTGTCTGAACCTAGGGCCAGGGAGCGCAACATGGAGTTTGTAAGCATAAGTAAGACAGACAGAAATCTCTCCTGAACTCTCATTACATTTACAAGGCTTTTCTTACCGAGGCAGACTCAAGCTCCCAACACTTGTACCATCATTCTCATTCGCGAGTGTCAGGCTGAGTTAAGGTCCATCCAAACTCACCTTGACATTGGCTGTTTTTCAGGGGGAGTCAGAAGCTGATAGGCTCTAGTTCCAAGTGATGGCACTAACATTTGTTACCCTGACTGGACCAATTCACTCTTTTGTTTTACTTTTTTTTTTTTTTTTTTTAATGAGAGGATGTTTCCATAAGAACAAAGAATGTCACCTTGTCCTTAGAAGGAAGTCAATAAGTATTTTTATCTTTCTCTTTTCTCCACCTAAAATTTTTGCATTTCTGGTGTTTTGCCATGGAGATTGAAAAGGTGAGCCAGCGGTGTAAGCATGTTTGGATCTAAGAATGACATCATAGTGATGCTCCAACAGCATCATCGGTGTCAGGTATTAAGCTCCTACTGTCTACGGGGTACGATATGTTGTGATGGAAATACAAAAAAGTTATGAGACCGTGTGCTTGAGGGTTCAAATACAGTTAAAAGCTAAAAGACAACAATCACACCAGGTAACCTAAGCTAAATGTCAAACAGGCAGCTTAGATAAGCAGAGGTGAGCTAGATTGTTTCAGGGAAGGTTTCCTGGGAGGAAGACCGGTTGATGTGGACTTGGAAGAGAGCTGATATCTCCTGAGTGCTTGTTAAGTAATGGACGTTGGCCCTCTGCCTGCTCCATCTCACTGATTGAAGGTTAGATTCTTGATAAGGGAATACAGATGGAAATGTGGGATTGGCGGGCTAGAAGTGGAAACGATTGAATAGTGAGTTTGGCAGGAGGGGAGGCAAGTAGGAAAAAAGATGGCAGATGATTCTAAAAGCCAACGTTAAGGAGTTTGGGGAATGAGAAGCCACCCTAGATTGTCGCGTCGGGAATGTTGTGTGTCCCAGTGTACGATTTCAGAGGAAAGCACTCAAGGTGCCAGAAAGCACCCAGCCCACTGCAATAGCCCAGGCATTAGGTCACAGGACCTCAGTGAAGGAGGAGAGGCGGAAGTCACGTAAGGGTGACCGGAGCGTCAAGTAATTTTTGATTGGATTCCAGGCATTTTGTGTAAAGAGTCCAGTCAATAATTAAATAAACCCTTTTTGCATCAAAAAATGAAAAAGGTTGACTGGAAGAATGATTTCACGTCGAGGATAGCTCTTGGAAAAGTACGAGGAGGGAGCTCACTTGGGGAAAGAAGGCTGGAGTTAGGTTTTGGATGCATTCAATGTGAAGGGACTGCGTGCAGGTGGCGACATCTTCCCTACGGGATGCGGGAGATGGAAATTTACACTGTGAGGGATGCTGGAATACAGCCCTCTCACCCTCTGCAGGGGACAGCTGGAAAGCCCATGGCCCCAAGGCCCATGAGGCTAATGGCATATCTTATATCTCTTTTTATATCTTTCTTTTCCCCTAGAGAGTTACAGAACCAAATAAAAACCAAATTCTCCAACGCTACTTCTAACCCCTAAAATACACCTTTCAGCAAGTATTTATTGAGTCCCTACTCTTTGACAGGCCCATGTCACTCCCAGCCGCCATACCTGGCTGGTTTTTTTTTTTTTTTTTTTTTTTTAATGTACATTTGGGGGTGGGTGGAGAAATGCATTGGGTGCAGATCAAAGCAAATGTCCAAGGCTGAGCTTTCTAAGTCATTCCACCATCATGGCTTGGTTTCCTTTATTTAATGTAAAGGACATATGCAGCCGACAGTATGTTGAAGGAGAAAGAACATCATATTAGGAGGGCTGAGGACTTGTGTAATCTTAGGAAAGTCAATGAACTCTCTGGGACTCGATTTACTTGTCTGTGAAATGAGTGGATAGATGAGTTGATATATAAGTTGACTTTCACGTCCGATGGTTTGATATCATGTAGTTAGGGCTTCTAATGCCTTTAAGAGCAGCATCATTGCGCTCATAGAATGTAGGCTGTTTCTTGTTGTAAGTATTATCAGAGTATTCTTTAAGGCCGCAGTCCCCAACCCCAGGGCCGTGGCCCGATACTGGTCTATGGCCTGTTAGGCACCGGGCCACACAGCAGAAGGGGAGTGGCAGGTGACCGGGGAAGCTTCGTCTGTATTTCCAGCCGCTCCCCATAGCTCTCATCACTGCCTGAACTCCGCCCTCTCTCAGATCAGCGGCGGCGGCATTATACTCTCATAGGGACACAAACCCTGCCGCAAACTGCACGTGCGAAGGACCTAGGTAGTGTGTCCTTATGAGAATCTGATGATCTGGGGTGAGCTGAGGCGGTGATGCTAGTGCTGGGGAGCAGCTGCAAATGTAATAAATGTGATGTGCTTGAATCATCCTGAAACCATCCCCCTTACCCCTGTCCATGGAAAAATTGTCTTCCATGAAACCCGTCCCTGGTGCCAAAAATGTTGTGCACTGCTGCTTTAAGAGTACACCTTGCGTCGGGGTCACCTAGAGCAGTCAAAGGCCACAGACTCCTTTGCTGGGTCCCCTGGCAAAAACACCTGGGGCTCACTCAACAGCTGCATCCACCGAGGCTGGGTAACTCTCTCCTATCATAAGGATGTGAAGACAGTTAAGAGGGAAGACGACGCACAGTCTATTCCCTGGGTCTCACGTGGGTGAGAGTGAACACAAGAGCAGCAGGGTCCCCGGACCGCCGCCCTGTCCCCATCACTCTAACACCTGGACCCCAGCCTGCACCCCTGCCCATTCCTGCGCTCCACTGACCACGGCCCCTGTGCAGCTGACCCTCGGGGCTTGCTCCTTCCTTTACCTGCAACACAGATATGGTTCTGCTCTGGCCGCATTCGTGCCTCTCTGCTCTCTTTGGGGCTGCTACTAGGTCTGTCTCTGCCCTACTGCCATCGTCACTGTATCCCGCTCTATAGGGAACCTGGCCACCGCTTCCTCTGCCGCATCCCGCCCTGCTCAGCCCCGCTCCTTCCAGGACTGTCCTACCTCGCGTCCCCGTTGCTTCAGCTGGTGCCAGCCTTCTCACCTGCTGCCACCACCACTTCCCGCTGGCACTGCTGAAGATGTCCCCCTGCCTGACATTGCTAGGCTGACACCGCTGTCGTGATACTGCTGGCTGCCTGCACTCTCACCTGACACCACAGCCACCTCGCCCCTGTGCTGTGACCTCACTGATAGACACTATGACATCAAGCCAAGGCCACTGCAATCGGCTCCACCCATAGAGCTAACAGCTGTCCCTAAAGTTTCTCACCCATGAGATACTTTTCATCCCCAAACATTGTACCTATTTTTTTTTTTTTCCTACCAGCAGATGGCTTTGAGTTTTTGGTGAGGTAGTTCTATGCTTCCACAGACTGAGACTAACCTCCAGAGGTTAACTTGGATCAGGAAAACTGCACCACGTGGCTGGACTTGCTAGGACCCGGGGCACCTGCTTCTGCTGCAGTCCCCTCATCTTCAGTAGCTCCTCCTGTGCTTGGATGCTACCTTTTTTTCCCCAAGAACATTCTACAGACGTTGGGGTTAAGGCACACGTATCTCTCCTGTGGATGTCTAGAACTAAATGGAAGAATGAAAAGACCATCTCTAAATCCTTCTGGTAGGGTCTCTCAGGAAGCAAGAGCCTCGTGCGAACGGTCTCCAGGCTCCACGACATAGACACGCAAAGCCGACCCCCCAGTTCCGCCGTATTAGACACACGATAGGCAGAGTGGGATGGAAGGTTCTCTCTGAGCTGTAAGCCTCGGAAAAACCTGTCCAGACACAGACTCTGGCATAATCCGCGTATGGAACGGCCTTGGTTTGGTTTAACAGAGAGAAAGTAAGCAAAGTCAAGGCCCAGGGGCGCGGATTCAAAGCATTCCTTTCTCCTGGGCATTGTTTTCTTTCATTCCAAGCTCTCTGGTTATGTAACTGTCCAAACAAATCCAGACATGAAAGGGAAATACCCTAAGCCACTGAAGCGGTGCTGCTTGTTTACGCTCCGGCGTACCCGCGGTGGCATCTTGGCAGAGTTCGCACGAGCACATGGCAAGGAAATCCAGCACTTCCTTAGACAGAGGGAAAAAAAGAAAAAGAGAAAACACGCCTTCTCCTCTTTCATTTCTGACACTGAGCCCACGTGCCGCACATCTGGGCTCCTCTGAAAGGAAGCGCTAGGAGAGATTTATTTCATCGAGAGAGGACACACAAGCTATGCCTTGTCCAGCCTGGACATGTGCTTCTGTGACAAGGGGACCGCTCAGGACATGGGCACAGTGCCTTGAGTGAAACACTTCCTTCTTTGTTGAGCAAATGAATTTCCTTAAGTTGGAGGCAGGGCGGGAATCTAGCTTTCTTAACATTTGAGAAGTAGCAGTTTTCCCATTTTTAAATCTGACGGAATAGAAAGTTGCTAAGAGAAGCTAAGGTAAATAACCGAGATCACTCAGCAAGCCAGGTACAGAAAACACGGGTCCAGACATAAGAGCTCTGGTGACCTGGTTCTAAAAGGCCCCAACCTCTCTTCCCAGGCCTCAGCCCGGTAAAACATCCTCGGAAACCATAGCAGAGTTTTCCAAGTTTTCATTTCTTCTGCAGTGTGCACCAGATCTCGTAATTTCTCTCGGTTCTTACGATTAATTACCGTTACGTTTAAAGCCAATGCTATTCACAAAGTTTGGTTTCTCAGGTTCATGCAGAGGTTCTCAGAAAAATCACGTCTTCTTAGAATTGAGGTAGAAATATTCCTCCTGTCTGATCAAAATGCCAACTGACTTTGTGACCTCAGGCGTCATTGTCTCTTTTTCTGTTTGTGGGGGGCAAAAAAAAAAGAGGTGGTAGTTTTGCTTCTAAGGAACATACTTAAGATATCACAGTTAAGATTTCAGTTTGCAAAACAGAATGCATTTCCAGGTTTGGGGATAAAAGATGCCTATCGGTATCCATCATTCATTTCATTTATTTTGACACTGTGAGAAATTGAATCAAGCAATTATTTTCCTTTGTGCCTCAGGTTGAAACTGGCCAAGGAAATTTAACATACAGGAATTGATTTGAAAATCTCCTCAGAGCTATGAAAATAACACACATTTGTGGTTTGAAATGTCACATGCTAAACATCATTCCATTATTGGGCGATCCCACTCCTGTTAATTACAGGGACCTTCAAGTACTGTGCAAGTGTGGCCCATTCCAACTTGTAAAATTAAGTAACTTTCATAAAAGAATTTCCTGTAGATTTTTAAATACATGAACATGCAGCATTTCAAGACACCACTAACGGCATAAAGGGAACTCTGCCTGCATATGATGTCATTTGTGCATGGCATATAAATGTTTCCAAAGAAAGTGAGGTGCAAATTAAGAAAAATAAAGCCTGACACCGTATAACCTGGAGATCACTCTGTAAACTTCAGGGTTCTTCCTTTTGCCCTCAAATATATTATTTTCTGACTCTGTGCTTTTCGCGTATGTGATGGTCTTCCTGCCGGAAATCCTCTCTCAACTGTGACATTGCTCCACCTTCATCCCGCCGGTGACAGTCCTGTGCCCCAACGCAGCAACCTCCTCGAAGTGGTTGAAACCAGCTTCAAACCCTCTGTGAACCCTTAATCAGCAATCCCAGGTGAAACCAGCACCTCCCCCAACCTTTGGTTCCACTTTAATTGTTCAACTCTCATGCGAGTTCCCACTCAGCAGAATTCGGATTATTTAAGCGACCACCACGTCTAGTCCTTGGAGTGCTTCCAGAGCAGTTCCCGTGTTCCTCGTCCTGGTAACCTCAGGGCAGAGCCTGTGGCTGGGTCTGCCATGACCCCGTAGGTTCTCAGCACATATATGTGCCTTGAAGGAACCCCCACACACCCCAATACCAAACTTAGATGACTGCAGTGGTTAATGAGGTGCGTTTAGGGAAGAAGACGGAGTTTCTTTCACACCCCCAGAGAGCAGGGCAGGCCCATTGGAGAAACTAAATTCGCATTCTGTCTCTACAGCTTGAGGATTCAAAGATGCCTCAGAAGCACAAACCGTGTAGACTCTTATCTCCAGAGGCGGCCATTTTTCTTCCCTCCCAGCCGAGGTTTTGACAAACACTTAGGAGGCAATTTGGTACAAGTGTTGGGGTTGCTTCTTAGAAAAAAACATACAAATGAACAAACAAAACTTTTGAAAGCAATCTGTCCGAGGCCTGACACATCCTGAACGTTTCGAGAGAAATAGCAAGAAAAAAAATGTTTCCATGGTGATCATTTCACAATGTATACATATATCAGAATATCATGTTTTCTACCCCAAATATATACAAATTTTGTCAAAAGTTAAAACCAAATGAATGTTTCCATACATAATTTCCTTCAGCACAATTCCTTATTTGGGAGCTTTGAAGTAACTACCCCGACAGGAGCAGGAGGTGTTAAAACGCTTCCCAACATGCTAGCTTTGCAGGAATGTCCAATTGCTTCTCTCTCTGTGAGGACGAGAAGGAAGGGGACATTCCTTCCACCCGGGTGCCTGGCTCTGAGCTTTCTCTTCATCTCTGCTCCCGAAGGTCTTCTCAGCAAACACAGGGGCAATGATCTGAGTCCACACCAGCTGTCGGTTTTCTTCTCCCTCTTAACAAAAGCATTTAAACCAAAAGCCTTAATGAAAAGAGAGAAAGAAAAAGTAATGCAAATACCTCTTTTCAAACACTACCAAATAGCACCACTCTGTTCTCTATGTGTATTTATAAAACATAAGGACAGGTAGAGACCCATTTCCAGCTAAAGTGTTTATGATAATAAAAAAAAAGAGCAATTTTATTTTTTTTCCCCCACTGTGTGGTACTTTTTCAGAAAGACAAGAACTGCTGAAGGAAGAAGTCTCCCAGGGCTAGATTCTAATTAACTTCTGTACCAATTGCTGATAACATAGGCAATCACTGTTCTTTAGAAAATGGGGCAGAGAGTCTAAAAGATCATAAAGACAAGATGACTAATCAGCTAAGACATAGAACTGTTTCTGCCAGTCTGCCACAATTTTGGAGAATGGCAAACAAAATATAGTAGATCCTGTATTTGATATTCAGTAACATAAAAGTGCTGGTGTATGTGTCTTGGAGCCGAGACATTGATCTGGAGGTATGGAAAATACTAATCCTGCAGTCCATTACTCTGCGCAGCCAGCTGCAGAACTGTGGTAGAGTCAGAAGAACTTGAAATTTGGAGTGAGAAGACGTGAGTTGGGGGTTCCAGTTCTGGCTCTCTTATTTAGGAACTCTGTGATTTTGGATCAGTTATTGTATCCATCAGCTGCATGAAAACCACAATGCCAGGTACCATGTAACAGGAAACCTCAGCTTCTCAGAAGTTTGCAGAGTTTCGCTGATCTAGGCTGGGCTCGGCTGATCTTGGCTGGTCTTGCTCATTTGTGATTCCCTGGCTTGCCCTAAGTCTATAAGCGAGGTTGGCTTTTTGCCTCCTGCTGGGATCAGCCTGGGTGTGTCTTTCCCATGGACATTTTCAAGCTTCTGTTTGCACCATATCTGTTAGCATTCTATTGGTCAAAACAAGTCACATAACCAAACCCTGAGAAAATGACAGAGAGTGACAAAGTTACCATGGAAAATGGCATGGATAACGAAGTGCATGGATAATTGGGACCAGATGATGCCATCTACCACCACACTTAATTCTGTCGATCTCAGGCCATCATCTATTAAATGGGAATAATAAAACACCTTTGAAAATTAAATGAGATGGTACTTAAAAGTACCTAGCTCAACACCTGGGGAAAAAAAAAAAAAAACAACTGATGCTCAATAAATACTACTTTCTTTCTATTCACCTCTCCAACCTTGTAAAATGGAAATTAATACCTGCCACACTCAATGGGATTATTGTGGGGTGCTTAAAAGGGTTAAACACATGTGAAAACACTTTGAATGAGTGACAATAGCTCTATAGCATTTGTACTGCCATCGCTTCCAGAATGTTCATCTTTACACAGACACAAAGAAGTTCCAGCTCTTGGACGTTAAATCACAATATTCATTGAGCACTTGTTTAGCATGGAGTCAGTGGAAATTTTCTCTGTGCTGCGTTCTGATTTTTGTATTATAAATCAAAGCAAATATGTATGGCTTAGGATAAGGGTCAGAGAAAAAGGGGAAAGAAGGTTTGTAGTGTTAAGTTTCAGTAACTCCCTTAGTGTTACCCAGGAACTGGTTTAGGAAGAAGGACTTTTCTAGCTGTTATTACCGTAAAGCCTAAGTCTTGATGGTGATGTTTCCAGACAAGAAGTAAAGAGTGATGAGGAGGTCACAGAGGGTGAAACCTCAGCGGTTCTCGGGTAACAATCCTCTTACCTTAATAAATCAAGAACTGTTTATGACACAAGGCAATACAATCCTCGGATAACAAACCTTAATTGTGTGGCTCGCTGTGGTCCCCCGAGACTCCTAGGGGCCTAGAGAAATTAACCTCAGAAAAGGCAGAGATGTGGCAAAGAAAGAGTCAGTGTCTTCGTGCAAGAGAGATGGAAAACCTGAGTCTCTGACCGTGACGTACCTAATGGCCTTCGTGACATTTACAAGTGCTCATAGTTTAGAGAAGTTTATTATGAGGTTATTATTTCTCTCTTTTTTAAAAACATGGAAATGGAGAAGAGAGTAGCTCAAAGGACAGGGCATTAGCTAAGAGAGGCTCCGTGGTGCAGGGACATTCCCTCTGGAGGTCAGAACCCTCCCCTGCCTCCCCCAGCACAGAAAGGAACTTCCTTCGCTCAGAGTTTCAGCTGAGATGAGTTTTCCCTTGCAGGGCAAACAATTGATATTTTACCAGTTTCTACATATTGGATATTTATTGACTTTTTTCCCCCTAAGGTTGGCTTAACCCCAGATCATAAGTTCTGCCCTTTTGGAGGCTAAAGGACCTTTCTTTGGACATGAAGTTGCAGGGAGAGAGTGCCCCAATTCAAAGAAATCTGGGAGGGGGAGACGTGAATTGCTGTTCCCACTTCTGAGTATTTTGGCGACAATGATCCTAGTCAAGAATATCAGGATGCCTAATGATCTAATGATCATTCTTCACTGACATCACACATTTATTGCCTAGGTTAAAACATTTCCTAAACCCCCCTGCCCCTCCCCGCCACCTCTCCCCTCAAAAAGTATCTAATTAATGACTTCATACATACACATAAAAGATGGAGTCATCAGTAAAGGACTTGGAAATGACAGGTAAAAAGTTTGGCAGGTGTGTTCCATTTTATAAATAACTATCTTTGATAAACACAGGACTTTGTGTTTGACGAGTCCCTCCTACAGTACCTGTCTTGAAGTAGATGGTCAATGAATATTGGTTTTCTAAATAAATTACTGAAAGTTAATGTAATAATAGCCTAATAATATGGTTTTGGTTGCTTATTTGGCAGCTGCTAATATAGAACAGAAACTTAAATATGTTTTTAACTTTTTATATGTCTTATGTCAGTGGTGTTTTTTGTTTGTTTGTTTGTTTGTTTGTTTGTTTGTTTAGTGAAGTAAGATGAAACAGATACAGTGCACTAGTAGAACTCATGAAACTAAATGCAGGCCCTTGTGTGGAAAATAGCAATGAGACGAGAACCTCCCTTGTGAGGGAGGGGCTTAAGGAGATCGTATGAGCTAAAGCAGGATAATCACATAGGTCAGTACCCAGCATCAGGTAAGTGTTTACCAGCCATCGTCATCTTCATCTTTATCATCAACATCACCATCACCTCAAGAGCTAATCAACAGTCTCTGGCTCCTCTTGGTTCCCAGGGGTTTGGTTTAGTCGGGAACCTCTTAGACTATTATGGAAATATGGTGAAAGCCCCAGAATCCAGGGATTGGAGGGCTCTTTGTAAACAACTGGAAGAGTTACACTTTCCTAAGGGGTATGATATTCAAAATTCACAGGATATTCAAAATTCCTTCCTAAAGTACCTTCCTTTGGCTCAGGAGGGCTGTTCTGGTTCCAAGACGTATGCTTGGAGTTCATCAGAAACTGACCAGCCTTAAACATGTAGTCAGTCTAGTGCTTTAAAATCTTTACACAGTCCCCCCTCTGTTCTACCCACTTTAAACAGATGCTTTGAGGGGGCGGGGTGGTGTCAGGGTCAGAGAGAGTACCAGGAGGTGAGTGGGTGATCAGTTGTGCCAAAGACAAAAAAGAAGAAAAAAAGATGAAGGAGAAAACTCTTGAGAAGGAGGAATAACTAGGAATTCTGGTAAGGAGATGTGTGGCATTAGGAAGGGGCCAAGGACAAAACAGAATGCTTCAGAAAAGAGTAGCTGAAAGTGAAACAGCAAATAATGAATGTAGCTTGCTCTGATCATTGAAGAATCGGTCAGGATGAAAGTCAAATGTAGGGCATGAAATGAGCAATATCTCAACCATGAATGGATAGCAAGCCCATTTTAATGTTCCAGGACCAATAACTGGGGGAGGTGAGGAGAAGCAGCTCTGTCTTGAATAAGCAAGAGAGGTTTCCCTCCCATTCCTCCCCCCCCCCCAAATAAAGCCCTTGAGAAGATAGAGAGTAAGGTTTGGGGGAAGAGGAGAAAAGAGAGACTTAAAGATGGAGGTAGAGGAATGCAATTCTTGGTTTTTAGTTTCATTGGAGAAAGTTGATAACAAGCTACAGGTAGGAGAAGAGTCACCGAGACAGAGTGAAGGTAGACTGGAAGTGGAAATCATGTCGGGGGGGTTACAGTCCAAGAGAGAACCCCAGTAACGTGGAGGCAGGTTGATAGAAATAGAGAGAGGACAGAGGGAGGGGCTCAGTGAGTTGGCTGAGTTTTGTGTCAAACCTGCTAGAGAATATAAGGGCCAAGGGGACAAAAGCTCTGTGTACCCTCTCTTCCACTGTGTCGTCAGAGACTAGAGCAGGTTCTAGCACATAGCAGGTGCATTACAACTGTTTGTTGAATGACCGAATGAGTGAAAGAAAAGATGAGGGCACCCCAAGCACTAGGATACTGGATAAATAAGTAATGTTTAAGACACTAACAAAGGAAATAAGGCCCAGATGTCCCCAGAAATAGCAAGAATCTTTTCTATAAGGGCAGGGCGTTGCACTCAATATGTTGGGGCTACTGAATATTAGTCGGGATGTTAAGACTCTGGTCCGAAGATGTGTCTGGTTAGGTGAGAATGAAATTGCTGCCATGCATGTAAGGTGAAGCACACAAAGGTTAAGAATTCGAGACTAGCCAAGGGGGTGAATGCCGGTGTAGCTGGCGTGGATTCTGAAGTTCTTTAGAATGCAGATGTGTGAACTGCAGGAGAAAAAGCAGGTTAATGAAGGATGAAAACATCCATAAAAGAGGAGGCAGGCTGGGGGGCAGGCTGTGACTCCATCTGGAAGACAGTGTGTGGATCACCCCTCCTTGAAGGTGTATTGGGTGTACGCGAGCCACAGATGGGAAGAGGAACGTGCTCCATCCCAGGGACAAGGCGCCGTGGACATCGGCCTTAAATAGACTTGACCAGTTCACATATGGCGTTTGGGTGTGTCACGTATATGATGCGAACTTGTCCTCGCACCTTGGTAATGGCATAGCTGTGCTTAGCGATAATTAAGGACTCGCCAGTTGAAGTAGAGAGATCGAATTATTTCCACAGAGAGGATTCCTCAAGCACAAGGAAGTTCGGGAGAATCTCATCTTTTCAACTTCACGTCTTTGCCATTTTTCTTTCATTGTCTGTTTTTTTCCAAGTGACCAGCCACGCTGAATGAAATCAGTCAATCCTGATTTATTTGGAGTCCTGGACACACACAAACCCACACACACTCATGCTTACTACTTAATGTTCAACTGTTCGGGAATGGAGTCCAGAAATCTGGTTTTGAAACTTTGTCTAAGAAGGGGCTATGTGTTTCTAAACATCTGTTCAAGCTGCAAAAAAAAAAAAAAAAAAAAAAAAGAAAAGAAAATCCATTTAACTATCCAGATGTTACATCTACACTGGGCTAAACATGGATATTTAGAAATATCCAAGCAGTGGAATTTCTTGCTCAGCTTTCTGCACACAAGTCAAAAAATCAGCTGAGTAATGGTGTCAACCGGACCCATTCCTATGGAGGGTCCCATTTCTTAAAAGAGGAATGAATGAATGAATGAATGAATGAATGAATGAATGAATGAATGCGGCACTGGCAGCTCTAGAGAGAACAAGTGGTGGGTGCTCAGGCGCAGCTCAGCCCCCGTCGCCTGCTGTCCTGGGCGAGCTGCTGCCCCGGGGGTGGCTTCAGATCACTTTCCTTGGCTCAAATGTGTTACCTAAGACGGGATCATTTGTCAAGTGAGCAGGGTACACAGAGAGCTGCAGGCAGATTATGGAAAGAGAGAGGGAGGAGAGGGAGGGAGGAGAGCGAGCGCGGGAGAGGGAGAAAGAGAAGGGGGACCAGGGCGAGGACAGGAGCCGCTGGCTGCTCCCCGAGCAGCAGCGCTTTGCTTGCGCTGGGGATTCAAGTTAGACCCGGTGGCAGGCGGTGGAGGCGCCACCCGGGAGAGCGGAGCCCCTGGCGGCTCCGACATGGCTCTTTTCATGTGGGATGCTTAAGGACACCGCAGCAGAGAGAGTAACTTGCAGAACAGAGAAACTGGCATGAGGATTCCGCCAAAATGGAAGGGCTCCTGTCTCCGATGAGGACGAAGGTAAGGGGGGTGGATCTCGATTTCTCTCCCTTCCTCTCCCTTCTGCTTGGAGGCTTAGAAACGGCTCCGTGCACGGGGAGGCTCAGGCAGCTTTTGTCTCATTTCAGAACTAGGCTGGCCGCGATTGCAACTGTGGCTCTCTCAAAGAATAGGCTTGCCTCCCAGGCAGCGATCTGGGCAAGGGGAGAGGCGAGGGGGCGCGAGCCATCTGTCAGCGTGGACAATGGGCGTCTTAGTAAATGAGTTCGCCTCTCGCCTGATTAGACAGCCATATTTTAGCAGGATTTCCAATCACTCTCGACTCGGGGCCGTGCAACCCCGGGAGCTGTGCGTTTGCAGGAAGTGCCAATTTCTCAGGTTGCATTGCCGTGTAGCAGGAAGAGTAACACGTTAGAGGCAGAGAGCATGCCCAGCTCCCACTTGAAATATCCTCCTTCCTCCTCCTCGCCTTCAGAGCGGGAGGACCGGGGAACCCTCTCGGTGGAAAGTAGGTTAATGCATTCTGGAGGCCGGCGTGTTCTCGGAAAACTAGCAGACCAACGGAAAGGGTTTCAGAGCGCTGCACACTAATCTGACATCTTGAACTTGGTCCTGTAACATTGAGAAATGCTCGCGGGGAACTGCGCATAGTCTCCTGAAGACTCCTTGGCTGGAGTTTGCTTTTCCACTCGACACAGGGATGCTTTAAACATGGGAGTTTTCCATTGTAAGCTCAGATGATGAGGGGGCTATTTGGTATCTGCTAGATCCACATATAACTCTAAATGGGTGGGTCAAAAGTTTTGAATGCTGCTGGACATAAGACTTTTCTTAATCAGAAATTTCCCTCCCCCCCCAAAAAAAAAAAACGTGGGCAAATACCTCTCTACAGCATTAGTGTTAGAGCCAAGAGGATAAAGCTTTGATTACCTTTATCCCTTTGATGTTCTGATTAGTGATTTGGACACAAATAGACTCTTTTGTCATTGGAGATTTCTTTTTTCTTGCTAGTTAATGAGCACGACCACGATGCTTTCTGGGAACGTTAGAACTAGATCTTGTGTTTGGGAGAATTCCCTGTCTTTCTGTCGTGTTCACCAATGGTCTGGGAGTCATTCATGGGAAGGACAGCCTCAACTGAGAGTTTGTTACAAAGGTTCTAACTCCAGCCCCTCGCTCGGCCGGCCACCTGCCTGGTCTTCTTGGAGACTCCCTTGGCGACCCATTTGTTCTTGCTGAACGTGTAGCTGGAGTCCTGTCACTTGCAGGCAGCACCCTTCCACCCAAGGTGCTGTGGAAACAGCAGGTGCTATTCCCATAACCCCTACCGCAGCACAGGAAATGGCAAATGGCACCGGCCTCCTAGCTCCTCTCATTGGCAGGATGAGGTTTGAATGCTTCAAGGGATGGCGTTATGATCTGTCATCTGACCAGCTTTTGAAATGACTGCCGCAGACAAACTAGCCTGGTATTGTGCACAGATGCCTGACAGACCTATGGATCTGAGCTCGTGACCTCACACAAGTGCATCTCTCATAGACTTCGAGAGGAGTTCCCTAGGCAAGTAAATCAGGACCCAGGAGCTGCGTAAATCACACGATGAGCCGATTAAAGTGCCGTGCTCTAGAAGGGGGGGGGGCATAGATGTCAGTGGGTCAGACTGCTCGTATATTATTAGGTTTATCTTCGGTTTCATTCCTATCTTGGCTTGTTCCTTGATCACCGTGTCATCTAACGAACATTGAAACTTATAGGGGTTTGGGTTCTACCAAAGTTCAAACATAAAACCTCTACGTAGCAAATCGACTCATTCAAAGCCTTTGATTCTGAGGTTTCGAAGGGTTTGTGTGTGTGTATGTGTGTGTTTTAAATTGCTTCTGTGAATTCTTTTTTAATCTCTTTATTTCTGATGCTGGAAATGGATTTTCCACATTGGAAATTCAAATCGCATTTGAATTCAGTAACCTACAAGATCATTATGACTCAGGCAATGAGACCCGACAGGGTGAGACTGCAAGAGGAGAATCCCATTGACGAGAAGCAGCTTTAGTTCCTGTTGCTGTCCTACGCTGTCGAAATTACCCGGTGTTATTTTTAATTTATCCAAAGGCATATATCAGTGACAATCTGTTGCCATTCTTCAACTTTGATCACATTATGCCTCGTTAGGTCTATTCTGGAATATTTCCTCCCTTTAGTGAGGATTTAGCTTGAAGTTTCTGATATCATAGTATCATGATGGGTTAGACAAAGAAAGTCTCCTAGAGCTACATTTTGGTGTGTTATGGTTACTTAGTAACTCACGGACAGTTTAAAGCAAGTGTTGAGGTAAATTGGACATCACACGGTAATTTCATTATGCCATGTAATGGACTTAACCAGTCTAAATCATGGGTGCTTAATGCATTTTTATCATGGGATTTGCATAATTGGCACATAAATATGCATGAGATTAACTGGAAGTGGCAAAATGGGGTGAGCACAATGTTCATGAGCATTGAAATTAAGGCGGCTGCAAACAGGACACCTGAACAGGCTCTGTCTCCTGGGTGGGCGGCCACACTTGACGTACCTAGAAACAGACAGGGTGGCAGGTGGCCTCCCCAATCACAGTGTATTGTCAGCGATACGCAGCCTTAGCACAGCTTTGGCTTCTGGCTGGATTCACTTGGGCACACTACTGATTCTTTTTTTATACATACAGTGCAATCTAAAAGCATCGCTAGGCTGATGGATATACTTCTCCTGGCCTCCTGGCAGGCCGTGACACAGGTCTTGGAATCGCAACCGTAACAAATGATGTTTGCAGAGGCAGGTGGAAAAAAAGAAAAGGAAAGGAAAGTAGGAAAAAAAAAAAAAAGAAAGAGAGAGAAGCTGATTGAGTCATTTCTCCCGTGAGGGTCAAGGCAATAATTTTATAATTGATCATCTTTGCCCACTTTTTAAATGTGCCTCTTTTTTTAATTGGATTTTTTAATCCTTCGACCTCTGTAATTCTACCTAATCCTCTGAGCGCTGCCTCCAGTGAATGAGGCGGGTAGGAGATTCTTCTCGTGTTCAGCCTGGAGGTCCATCTTTTAATATCCAGACAAGATTATAGCTATGTGTTACCAAATGTTTGTGCAGTTGAGAGTGGATTGAAATTAACCTCTAAAAAGGATAAAGTCCTAACTTTTAAAAAGTTTAATAACTTTCCATGTGCTGATTAGAGTTTTTAGAGTATTCCTATACTCTTGCCTTTAATACCTGCTCTCAGTTTACAATCACTTACCTCCCCGGGGACGGTGTCTTTTTCTTGTCTGTCTGAACCTGTTTCATTTCTGCCATAAAGACATTGTATCCCTTACTGCACTTTAGTTACTTTGTTCAGCGAGCAGCTTCTGATTTGTAGCATTAAGTAACCTTTCTAAAGGAAATCTTCTGAGAGGGTCAGGCCATTTTGTGAAAGGGGGAATTGAAAGGGGAGGTGGAAACTGATCTTATAAAGAAAGAGCATTTGAAATTAGCACAAGAATTGCATTCAGTCGCACTCTTACGTCCCCTGAGATAACTCACTGCCGCATGTAGCTAGAATTAGTTCGAGAACGGTCCTTATCGAGACCACTCTGCAATTTTGGAAACACTTTAGATAGAGATGTAAGATGTCAAAATTCTGAAATTACAGGCAATATAGATAGCAAAAGAATCAAACAAGTAAAAAGGCTCGATGGCTCTTTAGAACAATTATCACACAATATATGAAAGCTTAAAGTCACTTTAAAATTACGCTAAATCTGCTTGAAACTTTGCCAAGACTCCATGAGGAACAGCACCTGGAATGATCCATTGTGTTCTACCTACTTGATACGTGGATTTGGATAAGAAAATATTGGAATCACTCTTTTAGAGAACTCTGTGAACCAAAAATCACTAAAGGTTAAGGAATGGTTTAGCCTGAGTAGGGTCAGATTGTGGAGGGCTTGACAATTACTTTCAAATACACTAAACACCACGCAAGATTACACCCAAGCCGATGACAGCCTATGTTTTATATTAATGGAGACTTAAATAAGAGGAGATGTTCTGTCGCTGAACAATGGCAGGTGTAGATTAAATTCAAGGAAATGTTTCCTAATATCAAAATGTCTTACTAAGAAAGTTTGAGGCCACCGGGAGGCCTCTGAGATAGGTAAGGTGCCAGTCATCCTACCTGAAAATATATGACCCTACCTAGGAAGCCAGGGGAAGCTGATGTAGACATTCCATGTCTTTATGGTGCTGTGACCCTTTTAACCATAAAGCCAATAAAACCAGAAATAGGTTTGCGTATGAAGCATGTGTCAGATGCCCTTACAGACAGCTACGATGATGCATTTATTGAACTGCTGTACTCAGTTGGGTGAAAACAGAAAATGACTTTATTCTTTTTCAAAATGACCCTTCTCAAGGTATCTGTGAACTGTGGAAAGTTGAGGGCTGTGGGGCAATTTATTAGGTTAATAAAAAGGAAATCGAAGAGGCACCATGGCCTATTGCAATCAGACTACCTGGTTCAGATTCTAGCTCAGGCACTTACTAAGGTGTAACTTTTCTAAGCCTCAGTTTCCTCTTGTGCAAAATGCATATCTTAATAGGACCTATGTCTCAGGTCATCGTGAGAAGTAAATCTGTTCCTACCTGTAAGGTCTTGACACACCATAATAAATGTTAGCGATTGCTAGGATGACTGTATTAACAAATATAGGAATAAATACATGCAGAAATGCAAATCTCATGACAACTGTTTGCAACGCATTGTCATTGTCATGAATGTAAGTGGGAAAAGCAGGCAGTCTGTCCCCAGGACAATGCTGTTAGCAGAAACATAGAAGGAAGTTTCTATTGCCTGCAAGATCTCTATGAGATTAGGGTGCAAGTTTCCTGTCAAGGTGCAGCTCGAAGAGATCGGAATAAAACAGATGCCTTTGTAGAATAAATCAGCCATCATTACAATAAGGCCTTTCACAACACACAGTTATCATAGGTGGATTGTTTAGAAGAAA